GGAGTTTCACTCTTGTTACCCAGGCTGGAGTGCAATGGCGCGATCTCAGCTCACCGCAACCTCCGCCTCCTGGGTTCAGGCAATTCTCCTGCCTCAGCCTCCTGAGTAGCTGGGATTACAGGCACGCGCCACCATGCCCAGCTAATGTTTTGTATTTTTAGTAGAGATGGGGTTTCACCGTGTTGACCAGGATGGTCTCGATCTCTTGACCTCGTGATCCACCCACCTCGGCCTCCCAAAGTGCTGGGATTACAGGCTTGAGCCACCGCGCCCGGCCCTTTTTTTTTTTTTTTAAATCAAGACGGGGTTTCACCATGTTGGTCAGGCTGGTCTTGAACTCCCGACCTCAGGTGATGCACCTGCCTTGGCCTCCAAAGTGCTTGGATTACAGGCGTGAGCCACTACACCCGGCCAAGGAATCTTTTAGATTTTTTTCCTGTCCCTAGTCCCCATGAATTTATTTATTTATTTATTTATTTATTTATTTATTTATGATGCTCTTGTTGCCCAGGCTGAAGTGCAGTGACGTGATCTCAGCTCACCACAACCTCCACCTCCCAGGTTCAAGTGATTCTCCTGCCTCAGCCTCCCGAGTAGCTGGGATTACAGGCATGCACCACCATGCCTGGCCAATTTTTGTATTTTTAGTAGAGACGGGGTTTCTCCATTTTGGTCAGGTTGGTCTCGAACTCTCGATCTCAGGTGATCCACCTGCCCCAGCCTCCCAAAGTGCTAGGATTACAGGTGTGAGCCACCACGCCCAGCCAAAAAAAATTTTTTTTTTTTTGACATGGAGTCTTGCTCAATCTCAGCTCATCCTCCACCCGGAAGTTCAAGGGAATCTCCTGCCTCAGTCCCCCAAGTATGGGAATACAGATGACTGCCAACACGCCCAGATATTTTTTGTATATTTTTAGTAGAGATGGGTTTTTACTATGTTGACCAGGCTAGTCTAGAACTCCTGACCTCAAGTGATTCATCCGCCTTGACCTCCCAAAGCATTGGGATTACAGGCGTGAGCCACTGCACCCAACCTCCCCAAGAAATTTTAATACCACAGACATACTGTCTGTTTATGTATTATGGCCCTTTGGAATCTCACAAACCATTGTAATATCGTAAGACTTTTTTGTCTTTCACAAGATCTAGTTATTGCCCCTATTGAGAATGCATCCTTTAGACTGGTTCTCAGCCTCAGCATCCTTATCATTTTGGGCCATATAATTCTTTGTGGTAAGGGCTGCTGTCTCACGCATTATAGAATGGTTAGCAGCATTCCTGGCCTCCACCGCCAGGTGCCTGTAGCACTCGCCACCAGGACCAGAACTGCCACAGGTTTCCTGTGGGACACGCCATCCCACTGCCCATAGTGGAGAATGACTGTGGTAGACAGAAGAGGCCCCTCCTAATAGAGATGACGGTGCTAATCAAATTAGTTAAATTGGCATTGTTTCTGCTCACTTGGCAAAAATGTTCCTATTTTAGTATTGATTGCTTTGTATTGTAATTTTTTTAGCATGTTTGCCAAATCTTCCCCCAAGAACACCCTAAAGGATGGATTATTTCAGAGCCAAAATCTTATCCTCAGCTCCAGTACAAAGCCTGGCAGAGTCATCAAAAACATGTGAAAACAAATTAGCGCCACAATGAAAAAGCAGAGCTTGGAGTCTACAGCTTGGGGTTCTGGTCCCAGTGGGTCACTAATGCATGTGTGACTCACCTCGAATGATTTCCTCACATTGAAAAAGAGGGGTCTGCATGGTGGCTCACACCTGTAATCCCAGCACTTTGGGAGGCCAAGGTGGGAGAATTGCTTGAGCCCAGGAGTTCAAGACCTGCCTGAGCAACATAGCGAAAACCCATCTCTACCCCGGAAAAATACAAAAATTAGCTGGGTGTGATGGTGCATACCTATAGTCCCAGCTACTCAGGAGGCTGAAGTGGAAGGATCGCTTGAACCTGGCAGGCAGAGGCTGCATGAGCTGAGATCCCGCCACTGCATTCCAGCCTGGGTGACAAAGCGAGATCCTGTCTCAAAATTAAATAAATAAATAAGTAAAATGAGAAAAGAGAGCCCAGGTCATCTCCATGGTCTTGTCCAGCTCTGACATCATCCCATGAGTCTGCATGATTTGTGTCAAAGCTGTATGCAGCAAAGGTGTTAGTATAAGGAGTCATGTTGAGAGAATGCAGATTGTTCTTCTAAGGACTTGGGTGGTATGTCACAGAAAACTGACCAGGATGAGCATGGTGGCTCACATCTGTAATCTCAGCACTTTGGGAGGCTGAGGAGGGTGGATTACTTGAGGTCAGGAGTTCAAGACCCGCCTGGCCAAAATGGTGAAACCTCGTCTCTACTAAAAACACAAAAATTAGCCAGGCATGGTGGTGTGTGCCTGTAGTCCCAACTAGTCAGGAGGCTGAGGCAGGAGAATTGCCTGAACCCGGAAGGCAGAGGTCACAGTGAGCCAAGATTGTGCCACTGCACCAGCCTGGGAAACAGAGTGAGACCCTGTCTCAAAAATTAAATAAATAAATAAATAAGAAATAACTGACCAGCACAAAAACCTTAATGAAGAAGCTAAAGAATATAAAACCCCTGGATCTAAAAGTAAAGGTTGCTGAAGGGGAAGTGAGCAATCTCTGGGCTTTATAGAGTCCAAATGAATTACTTAACGTGAGGTCATTTAATTGTCACATCACCTTGACATGGGCATTGTCTCCATTTTCCAGATGAAAAAATTGAGACACAGAAAAGT